AATACCTTGTGTGTCCTGGTGCAAATGTTTTGTGCAATAAAAGTTTACATAGTCATGTCCAGAGAGAACGCTCGCAACATCCATGGAGAGTGTCAAAAACGGCAAAGAGGGCAATTATGCCAGTGTGTGTTATATTTTGTTTTTTTCATGGGGTCAGGGGGAATAGGTATTGTTTAGTTTTTTCTGAAAAACCTAAGCAGCACTGAACATTATACTTGTTTGTTCAAAAGCCAACTAATGTCTCGTGTTTAAGGGTGGCATAGTGTGTGAATTCGAGAAGGGAAGTGGGGGAAGTGGCCGTGTGGGGGGGTGAACACAGAAAATGGGTTCTGTCAATATGGTAGATGGAGTTTTGAAAGAGTGCGCCCTGAATGCGGAGAAATTGTGGGTACGGGTGTGGGGGGGTCAGGCAAGATGTGTTATAGCAGCCCGAGTTTGAAATCGCCAATTCCAACCGTAGACATTTTCGGGGGGGTGCCAATTAGCGGGGGGGGGTGTCAATGGGGGGGGTTCGGGGGTGGGGGGGATTGGGCGGGGCTGGGGGAAGTGCCAGGGGTGCGGGGGTTTTGGGCTCGGTGTGGCCCGGTCGTCAGTTTGAGGGCGTCGATGTTGAAACAAGGTGGATGTGGGGGGGGGAGGGTTCGAAAACTAATTGGTTGGGCATTGGGCGGGGTTGGGTGTGTGTGAAAAGGAGGGTATTATAGCAGCCCCCGAGTTTGAATCGCCAATCAACCGAGACATTTCGCCAATTAGCACCATGCTGCATATTTGCTCTTGCCGCATGTACTCATTTTAGAAAAGTGTATTTATTTAAAACTATATTCATTGCTGTTTTTGAGAAAATGAGGTTAACAATCTTTAATTGACCACGTAATGAGGTGGATGCCGTATAATTTATTTCAAGAAAGAAATATTTTACCTAACAAACCAGTATGCGAAAATGACCACAATATGAAACTTTATGTCAATGAGGAAAACATTTGGAGGTCCAATGTTAAAAATTGAAAAATGAAGAATGACCTTTCTGTTCGAAGTTGGTTCAGCGGTTCCAGAATAACAAGAATGGAGTTCCAGAATGGAGTAACAAACAGCTTGATATGTGTGAAAGTGTTACAGCTGACTGGAATAATTACATGCAATAAAATAATAATTAATAAGGATAAGGATTCTTAAAAATATTCTTAGGATACGACATGTGAGTATGATTGGTATTGTTATATATTGTGATGTTTATTTTCACATTCGAACTTCACGAACTTAACGAAATTATAGCTGAGATCTGGCGCAAATATAAATAAATAAAATTAAGGGGCAGCCACAACAAAGAAATATCGAAAGTTTAAACTGTCCCTAAGATTCATCTCATATCATTTCATCTCATATAGTATACATGTATGTTAAAACATAAAATAATTTCAAATGTAGAAACTTTCAGATAACTGTGATGTCTTTTTTTGGCTCTTGCTGATTATTCGCACCCCTATAAAAAGCTGAAAAGTTTCTAAATCAATAATGACTTTATGAATGAGCGAGACACGTTCGTTTGGCTAACTGATTCTAGTTTTATTCTGTTCATAAATAGCAAAAAAGAGGCATTTTATAAGAGAAAAGAAATGTTACGTAATAAACTAGAAATACGTATGGCCAATATTTATATTTTTTCAGCCGGGATATACTGTTTAGTTAAATATAAAGAGCCCAGATACACATGTGTCCAGCATATACATGTGCTAAAACACATGAATAAATACACGTTTGCGAACTTTGCTGTTATCGCTCGCATATATACTGTGGAGGTAAGAAGAAAATTAATTCTATTTTTCTTAACTCCGTAGTGTATACTCGAAAATAAATCGAACCGATCATTTCTACTGCAAATTAAAATCGGGAAACTAATGACCAGAAAATACTCAGGATCAAGGGAAAATGTATAAAATACCACTAAACATTTTCACAAATTTTAAAACTATCACTAATGCAATTATCTATTGTTTCCGGTTTCTTTCTAAAAATGATGGGTACAACTGTAAGCAACTCGCAAGACTTCAACATGGAAGTAAATATCAAAATTTAAAAATAAAGCCTGATTTTCATTGTTTAATGTGCAGTAAATAGTTGAAAATGAAGATTCCTAAATACAATATAAACTGTAGATTAAACACATATCAAGCACTTCTTACCACTCTCATGGCTAATGCCACAAACTGGTTTTGGAGTTAAAAATATATGCTACGAGATATTAATGTGCTTCGTCTATTAGTATTATTATATCGATTCAAAATGTGTGTTAATGTATTACAAATACATTACAAACTTCATAAACATATTACAGATATATCACAAATGCACAAACAAATTCGTACAAAAATTTCCAAATTCAAATATGTAAATAATCAGCAGAATTTAAAACAGATATGAAACGGTAATTTTTTAATTACATTAGTAAAAATTTGTCATATTTTATAAACTTTACATATATTCTAAATTATGCAGAACAGGTATACAATTTAGAGAAGAACTTTTTCAAAAGAAAAGCTCAGTAAAATCTAAAAAAGAAATTCATATAACATCAATATAGATTTTAGCTAATGCCAATCTTTATTTTCGACTAATTTTTAAGACGTTTTGGTGAATTGGCAAAGCATTTTTGCTCTTTCAAACTGCTTTCAAATACAATTACATGCTTTCTTACTATGTAACTTCACAATTACTTGTTACATTTGTAACTATATTCTGGTGGAAGTATTTCCTTGAATTTTCTTTGATTTTTTTAGGACTGTAACTTAATCGTTAGGTGAAGTTAATTTTTTCTATCATTGCTTTTAATTTATATTGTAACAGTTGCATTATTTTTATATTTAAATAATTCTTATTCTGCTTCCCATTGCAATTTCCACACGCTGCAGAGTAATCCTGGTCTAAAATCCTAATTAGAGGAATAAATTGTTAATTAATTACCTTAAGATTTCCTGAATTTTTTAAATACAAAAAACGTCATTTCTTAAGTTATGTAAAATCACCCTCCATTGTCTGACAATGCCGAGGACCCATTTTGTTGAGAGGCGACGCTTATATGAAATGTCCGAAGAAACTATCACTGTATGCAATATAATGTAACAAAGCGTCAATAAAATAATGTTGAGAATTTTACATAATATAGCATGTGACGGTTGTAGAAAGCGAAGCTTCACCGGAAATAGAAGAAACAAAGAAAGGTGTATCTAACATTGAGGTAAATGGCTATCTCGCTAAAATGGCGAGATATCGACAAGCTGGTGATGGCTTTGGCGACTAATTTTTATCGCCATATTTAGTGAACCCTCCATAAATGTTCATGTAAATTCTCGACGGAAAATTTGGTGTAAATCCTAGGACGCGACGATAGCTGGGAGTTTTGTGACAAAAATCGCTGCTACACAAATCCAAAATATCAAGTCAAAGAATTGCGCAAACTCGGTATCCATGTACACATCGACCTGTTTTCACTTAAAAAGACATCAGAGAATTCAGACTTCGCATTTCGGAATCCCTTGACTTTCTCCATGTACACATCGATGTATTTTCACTTAAAAAGGTCAAAGGAGCAGGTAACAAAAAATATATAATCTAAATAAACTACATGTTAAATCAAACAATGAAATAACATAAAAAAGAAATTCATCTTAGCAGTACACTAAAATATCCACTTACCTTATTTAGAAATTTCAGTGTCTTCAGTCAAACAAAACTCCTTAACAGCATCCAAAAACTTCCTAAAATTATCTGAACTAGAATCTGTATATTGGCGTCGCCACATAAATTCTAAAAAATAAGAGTAAACAATATCCTCCTTAGTGCCGGTATCCTCCTAATATTAATGAAATTCCTCTAATTTGTTTTAAAAATTCTTTTCATTTTTCGTTCTTCCGACTGCATAAATAGCATAATAAAACGCTTACTTGTAGAAAAAAAGCATGAGCATACAATTAAAAGCTAATTCTAGAAAGGAAAAAATACAAAAATAACAACTATGTTTAAAAAATACAATATTAAGAAAGTTATTTGAAAGAATGAAAGAAGCACTTTTTTTCTGCTCCTGCAAAGTGAAAGGGAAAAGAAAATAGGTTACCAAACTTCGATTAGTTTAATTAAGAATTTTGCCAAGTGAATCATTCTTAGCGCAAACAGAAAGAACTGCCCTAAGCTAAACAGAAATAACTGCTAACTTTTGAATTTCTATATACGTTTCTCACCAAATTTTGCAAAATATAATATTTAACCATAATTTAAATCGTAGAATAGAAGTATGAAAAACATCGGTGTTTCATTTCAGAAAAAGCCCGATTTTGTGTCAAAATACCTGCGTTTAAACAATTACTATTAATAAATCTAACATATATCCTAAGTCTCTCGCGCTTTTGAGACGTGAAAAACGCAAGTTAAATTTCGTCAATCGTCCCAGAGATATGGAACTGTCAAATATTTTTTGTGCAGATTGTACTATTTTCTTCATCTGCTTATATGAAAATAAATTTAGCAGCTTTTTTGTGCACGGTATATCAGTAATGATAGCTTTCCTATAAAAATTTCTATCATTTTGAAATATCAAAATGATTATTCATTTTTCGAGGCAAGATATTTCTATTCATTTCAAGTCTAATGGAAAAGTATTGTTAAACAAGTTTCTTTCAGCCTCTTTCAGGATGCAGTATGATAGTTCAATATTGCCCAAAACTTCCATATTCTGAGTCACAAAATATAAGAAATTACGCATTAAATTTAATTCCTTGTCTATCTTAAAATCCTTTTATAGCTTTTGTCTGATATCGTTTCTTGCTGATCCTATTTTAGAGTTCTACCTACTGATCCTATTTTAGAGTTCATTTATCGGTGAAATAATATTTATAAAAAGAAAAATATATATATATGTCTAGTGTATTAGATTTTATGAAGTAATGTAAAAATAACATTATTCATGTGAATCAGTCAGTTCAATTTACTGTAATTTACTTTTTTCTCTAGGTTGTTTGGAGGATGGTGAATAACAAAAATTTCCTATCCATGGGTGCTCATACAGTCGAAAAGGACGATCGAATACAAGTAGCGTCAGTCAACTCTACCTCCTGGTATCTTCACATAAAGAATGTGACGCAAAATGATTCCGGATATTACGCATGTCAGATCAGCACCAGTCCGGTAAAGAGCCAAGCAGGATACCTTGATGTTGTTGGTATAACATATAATAATAAATACGCTAAAATAATGTTATTTAATTATTGATTTCTAATTTTGTTTGTTATTTGCTTTGTTCTTAGAAATTTAATTAGCTTGAATTCAACATCTATTTTCCTTTATTTTATTTCTTGTCTCACAGAGTAAGCAAGAGATTAAATTTCTGAAACATTTCCATCACATCTGAAATATACTTCCTAATTGACAATGCTTCCGTCATGCAGCTTGATGTAATTAAAATTACTAATTGAAGACTATTATGAATATAAAAAAAAATTGTTGATACCTAAATGGACGCTCTAAACAGAGTTTCTTATATTTAGTATTATTTCCCTGCAGTTTATCTTCCTTCATCAGGAGGTACACATTATAGCATTAGGTACTTAAGAAAATATTTTAGGTGTTTTGTTGTGGAGCCGCAATTGATCTAGGGAAACTTTTGCTTATGTTCATTAGTTTGTGATAGGTTATTATATGGCTGACCAGTGTCCTATCTAGTAAAAGGCACTAGTGTGAAGTTTTGTGTATTTAAGGTATCGTACTACCTTCTAATAGTAAATGTTTATTTAAAGTTTTCAAAAGATTTCATTGCTTTATTTTAAAACTTATATATTATAGCTTATTATATATATATAGTATATATAAATAAATAAAGGGTGGGCCAAAAAAGACCTACCAATGTTAAACGCAAATAACTTTTCTATTTTTTGACATAACTATTTTTTTCCTTTTTGTAGGTTGTAATTTAATTTTGTAAATTTATTATAGAACCATACAGTACAAAACAACGTGTTAAAATTATCGAGTTTGTTTATTCTTGTCAACGATCAATTGTTATGACGCAGTGTAAATATCAGCAATGTTTTAATTAGGGATCAGTTTCCACAGCCTTCATGATTAGGAGTTCGGTTGACCTTTTTTCGTTTTACACAATTAGCTACCCAAATTGATTTTTTAAATAATTTTTTGACGTCGGATGAAGCTCATTTCCATTCAAATGATTATGTCAACAAACAATGGAAAACGCGTTATAAAGCACCAATCTCTGTATCGAGAAAAAATGGTGGACGTTTGCCTGATGTCATATTTCATACAAAATTTCCATTAAATGTATTTAATGTATATAAAAGATTAATCAAAATAAATGATAATTACAAGAGTTATCCGTATTTAACATTAGTAGATCTTATTTGGCCCACCCTGTACCAGGCTGTTCTTGTTCTATGGCGTGAATGAAATTTTCCATTCAAAAACGTAGAAGTTGATACCTAGTTGATGGTGCACACAAACTACTATAAAGAAATTTAAACTGAGAACTTTGCATTTGAATACTATTCGTGATGTTCAAACGCTGATTCTGAACATTTCTGTTTGTTATTGAGTGCTCGGAAACAAGATTAGTTTTGCAATTTAATTTCCTTATTTGGCAACATTTTCCTTTCCCTTCTGTATTCGTTTGCATTATATTAAACCTAAATTTAGAAAAAAATCAATTTTTTTCAACTTTTCTCTTACGAAAAAAACAAAAATCATTACTAGAACAATTTTATAAAACTCTATACAAATATGTTATGGAATACTGGAAATTGAATGAACTAAATATTTAGATTAGTCACATATTTAACTTTTTTCAGAAGAATTTGTAAATAAAAACAGAGAAAATTCTCGAAAAATAGCTAGTGCATGTACTCAGTTAACTTGCATAAACATTTTACTTTATCACTCAGATTTTAGTCCATTTCATACCTTCACCTTATTAAAAATACGGGACAAGAGACTTCCAAAATTTGGGTGGGGAACATGGTCAGATATCTTAAATGATAAGCGAGACAGAGAAAAGAAATGGAAGTTCCAAAAGTAGCATATGTATATATTTATATGTATGTGTTGGGGCAGAAGCACATTCAATGATATTTATTGTCCAAGAGTCCTTCCTTCTGCCACTGTAGTATTTTTTCACCAACAAAATAACGCTAATGAAGAAAACGTTGAGGGTGAGACAGAATTCAAGAAGAGGGAGATAGGAAAACTACCTGATAAAATTCAATACATTTTAGACAATAATCCAAAATGTATTAAATTATGAGAGCCATTTAATGTGCTTTACAATCTATGGAATGTTGTTTTGGAAAACACAAGAGAGTTTGCATATATCTAATACTGTAACACCGATTTATAATTCAGACGAGCTCTTCCAGGTGCATCCTAAAATAAATAATAATTTGTGATGCCAGAGCCACTTATGGTATTGCCTCATCGTACTGTTCAATAAAGAGTAATTAACTCTTTTATAATTGTTTTCTAACCACACTAATGTGGGCGAGTCTCCAACAAGCATTGCACTTCGCGTTTTTCTGGAGTTCAGGCTGGAAAAAAAAACGCCTACAAGGCAAAAAGGCATCATGTTTAGTTTATAAACGAATATGTGCATGAATCATAAACTGAGGTTTGAGAAATTTAAAAAAATGGTAATATTAAAGCAGATATTTCGATAACGCTTTGGATAGTAATACACAGTTAACAAAACTACGAGTATATTTTGGTACTGTCCATCTATAAGAAGGGTATGTATATTGAAATTTAATAGCTACATAAAAGATAAGGGAAAGATAAGGTAAATCTCAATGTAAGTAGCATTTCTCCGAGGCTAGTAAACTGCAACTTAAAATAAGTTACATTTCTCACTAACAAAAATAATTTTAATATTAGTTTTAGGATTCTCAGTACGCTCGTACGAAACATTGAGAGAATTTGTCCATTCTGGCGAATTTCTAAAAAAACGAATTGAGTGATTTTAATGAAAATTGTTACGATAAACATTTGTAACAGAGAAAGTGATATACTATTTAAAAGTTATTTTATGTATGCAAACTCCGGGATTGGGAGGTAAATTTTCTTGCAAAGAGCGTCCGAGACATGCTGTATTAGATCTAACGGGCCAATCCAAGCGTCGCCTATCCTCATTTTCCAGTTAACTATCAAACAGCTGAACCCTATGTGGAGGAGCTTTGTTGTCCATTAATAATTACTCAGGACCAACTGATCCCATGAAATGTCGAACATGCTGCTCCATAATCTTCTCTCTATAACTCACAACAGTCTGGGAGCCTTTGTCAAATTTATGCATGAATGTGCATCCATCCAACACCGTCCAACATCCGTCTCAAACTATTGCATCCTCACCATCGTAATGATAAATTTTCCCTGATGAGGGAAGGATGGTATCGTCTTACAGTCTCTCTCCAGATACAGGTAAGCTGGCAAGCAGTGTAGAGGCAGAATCTCGAGTCTATAAAACGTGCAGTGCTCATCTGCAGTCTGGTCCAGAGCGCATGTTATCTGCACCGTGTTAAATGCGATCTCCTATGTGTTGTAGCAACTGGTACACAAATAGCAGGTCTTCTGATATACAGCACTATCTCATGAATCCTTCAGGAAACTCTAGACCATGAAAATGGAATGCAGCTTCAGAGCACAGCTCACGTCAGATCTGTGGAGCTGTGGCAGTTCTGCTCGCTTCGCTGAAAGTGATGTCAAATAACGATCCTCCTTCGTCGCTGTGGATTTTAGTCGACTTTCTGTAAGTCTTCTTGATATGGATGTAGTGTCCTGAAACTGGTTCCTGAAATTGCAGCCGATACTGGGCGTTACATTCAGCTCCATAGCCACGTGTGCTTGTGATTGGCCTGCCTCTAATCTACAGACAATTCTCCATCTCTTTCCCTCATCCGTACGTTAGTGGCTGATCATTTTAACTAATGCCTTCTAAAACTTACCCAACTCTTGCTGCGAGAAACACGGCAAATGTCAAGACGCACGAGCACACAAATCTCCTTAAACCCCTCATGCGCTTATATGCCCTTCACAAGCTTCCCAGTCATGCATGTGCACGGTTACGCATTCGAATCGAATATTTGTATAATTTTTCGGTGGCTTAATTAGTGCCTTTTGTTCAATACTTTTCTTAAAAATAGACGTCGGTTTGCACACGAGTGTATCTGAATAATTTCATGCACTTAGGGACTGTCTGTATATTTAATTTCAAAATAAATAAACTAGCAAAGGAAAAATATATTTAATTATTTTTTTTCAAAATTTAACAACATTTGGACGTTATGATCAAAATACAAAATTTTTAAACTCCCTTTCAGTAAAATTTACAATCAGTAATTTTTTTCACCAGAGTCCTCTTCTTGTCAGAAACTTATTCTAAGCAGCTTTAGGGTTTCTCTCTTATGCTGCAAACTTATGAAGCTGCTAATTTTTAATTTTTTTCTCAGTTTATCACAAAAATCTCATTTTAATAAATATTAGCAAACATAATAAATAAGCGATAAAAATTTAGGTACCTGTGAGCAGGTTCTGAGAAAAGGTACATCGAGTATAAAAAATAACGTTTGGAGAAAAATGCGTTTTCATGTAAAAATCCTAATTTATCGAAGCATTCGATGACAAATTAAAACTAGATTTTTTAGAGTTTTAATTTTCATAGAGAATAAGGAATGGTATTTTTATAAAAACTAAAAGTGTAGATAATTTGAAAATGATAAAATCCGAAATCACCATTTTTTGAAGATTTTTGATTTCCAACACCCCTTAAGTTAGTGTTATTCGTAATCCTGTTTCTAAGCCTTTTGTTTTTTCCGGAAAGTGGAGTTTTACCTTTTGGTGCAAGATAATGGGGGAAAATTTCCAAAATAATCTGCTTTTCAAAATTTATAATATTTATAGTACTCTTTAATTTTCTGACTGTAATTTAAGATGCATTCGAAGAACCAAAATTATATTTATCAATAACTAAATATTCTGAGAAATAATTATAAGTATATAGAGGGAGAACATAATTTATTCTTATGGATTCTTAAACTATCTGAAGCATTTCAAATCATAGCTTAATTTGAAGTAGTCTGAAAGCCCTATGAGCGCTTTCGTACAACACTAAAATTTTGTAATTCAAAAAATTTAAATAAATAAACTGAATGATCTTATACCATATTT